CTTCTCACCTCCAATAACTTGAGCTATGATGTAAAACAACGTTTGCGCAAGCGTCTTCTTTCCACCAACAAAGAAAGCAACGGTAAGAGCAGGATTAAAAAGACCAGATGACACATCCCACATGGTAAAGGCAAACGTAGCAACTCCTAAACCTGAACTTATAGCCATGTGCATCACAGACGAGGGAGGATTCCATGCTAACGAACATCCACACACAAATGAGATAAACAGAGTTGTGATGAGAAACTCTGCAAATACTTCAGTCCAGAGTTTAACGCTCTTAACTTCATTTTTAAACCGAGCGAAACAAGAATTTACGTCGTTGGTCATCTTGAGTCAAGAGTAAAGTACGAATGATCAATTTTACAAATTGCGCACGATTTTGAGTTGTAAGTCCTCTTATTTACATACTCCGACGTCATAAAATGTTCAAAACTCAAAGTTCACTGCAAAGTTTTTTTTWAAATATTTCATGACGTCAACAGTATACCAACAAGAGGACGAAAAACCATGTGAATTTTTTTTAACACATTTAATCTAAAGATTAGCGAACATCATTCATGCGTGATACATCTATCTTTTTCGTCTCTTTGTTCAAATATATATTTGCTTTTCTATAGCAAATTTTGCTTTGTCATTGACTAAGAGACCCACTCTTTTACGATATATTTTTAACGTTTAAAATACAGAGTAAATGATTGAATGATGCTTCTAGTATGCTGTCTTTGACAATAAATGTTTTTTCAAAGCGTTTATCACAGAAAATGTCCAAAATTGACATGAAAGGTTGGGGCTCAACACCAGCATTATTGTGAAAAGAGATCACAGGCAGCCCAACCATTAAATGAGAAAAATATTGGAGTAAGATTAGCATTCGATGAGAAGTATGTGGGGACTTTGTATCTACTACACATGCGTCATACATGTGTGCAAAAGTGTTTTATGCTGAAATGGTATAGGACTGAACTCACAAGAGACTTGAACCTTTAGTTTGTGCAAATGTTTACAATAGAGTTCTTACACACTCAAGAGAACGCCTCTCCTTGCCGTCTATCATTTTATCCGTTTACCCAATAGGCCCTTGCGGCCGTGGCTCACACATGGAGCCCAAGTCAATATCCTTCTATTCTTCGTTTTGAAGTTGCGTCACAGCGGCCATCTTGGAGGAACTTCAACAAAGGATTTCTTATTAGCATCTATTGTTCATTCCTCCAACATGGCCGTCGGTCTTTTATCTTTTTAATCTCATGGAAATGGTTGAAAACGATCAATTCGAATTGCAGTTACATTTTGCTTTCATTGTGTTAACAAAATGCAAAAATCATCATTTCTTTAAGGAATTGTTATTGATACCAAGTTTTCCGTTCATCAAGTGTTTAACAAGAGGAATTATTTACAGTCATGCATGCCTTTATCAAATGTTTAGCCAAATTTTGTTGCAATATATTCATTGACGGGAAACACAGGGAAAGAGAAACACTGCTTAAAGTATTGCTGCTCCACATAAAAGTTAATATATTCAATATGCAAGGAGAAGTGCTCTCTACTGTATATCCATATTTATCTTTTCCTGGGAATGTACAGATCCGCTCTTCTTTGCCTTAACGTCGTCATGGTTGAGGTCGTAGGATGTTTTGGCAATTTTTGTGTAAACTCTTTGCGCAAACACGTAGTTATAGATCAGCGCTGCCGCAATAGCTCCTATCATCGGGCCAACCCAGTAGATCTAAAGAAACAATGATTACAGATTAATAAGTCGAAGCCATTTGATGCCATAGTTTTCTGCACTGTTTTACCCAGTGGTCCTGCCAAGAATTCATGACAACCGCAGGCCCGAATGATCGCGTTGGATTCATTCCACCTCCAGATAAATTGATCTGTGATAAAAACATTCAAGTTACTCATTTGAAAAATAATTTGCTTCATATGTGGCTGCTATATTGGTACAAATTCCAGGAATTACTGGCAATGTGTAAAGAGACAAATGTGAAGAGCTCCTTT